GTACCCAGCCTGAGATGTACATCACTGTATGCTGCACATGGTACCCAATACAAGGATACTTACCAAGGTAATAAGGACAGAAAAAAGAGAGAACAGGAGACCCAGCAAAGACAGGCAAACAGAGCAGGGCAAAGGCAAGGCCTGGAGCAGAGAAGAGACCTGGCCAGCTACCCTCAGAGGAACATCAAGGGGGGAGAATGGGAGTGGGAAGAAGAAATCAGCACACGGCATCCCCTGGAGGGTAGAAAGCAGGGTAGGTTTATTACTGTATAAGTAGCACCGCTGAACAGGATACATACTGGAGGTTGCGGCAAGACAGAGGTACATACCGGAGAGCAGACTGGCGCGCAGAGCGAGCAAGACTGTTGGCGTAGGGAGCAGACAGGGTGCTGGGGTGCTGCAGATCCTCTATGGACCTGCTCCAAGATTTCAGCTTCTCTAGGGCTCCATCCTCGCTATTTTCCAGACCCTCAAAATCAAACCTGGAGGGCAGACAGGGAACATACACCATACACACAGGGAAGCTTTAGGGCAAAAGCTGGCACGGAGGGGTCAAGCTCTGGATTCCCAAAGGATGGATGTTTCTGCAAGCCACAAGTCAGCAGCATGGGACATGACAAGGTGTGAATGGACAATCAAATGTCCTTTCTGTAAGTAAAATCTCAGCTGCACAGAAATTCACAGGGCAGTTTTACAGTATGGTTACCCCAATACAGAAGCAACAGTATATTCCACACCATGTGGGGTGAATTTATATTAAATACAGTCTTTTCTAGCATCACCTTATGCTATCTGGCCTGCAGTCAGTTGTCCTTTATAGACTATGGCAGGGGTAGGCAACCTTGGCTCTTTTATGACTCGTGGACTTCAACTCCCAGAATTCCTGAGTCAGACTCCTGAAGTCCACGAGTCATAAAAGAGCCAAGGTTGCCTACCCCTGGACTATGGTGTTTGCATTAGATTATGACTAAACAGCTTTATTTCAAGAATATATCTTGGAAATAGCTGGTCCCATTTGTGCTGAATTCTGGATGGAGTTACAAGTCATTTTTATGATGTTCTTTAAATCTGTGAACAGTATTAAGCCAATAATGGCTCCTGGTCTATTTAAAAGACCAATTCAAAAAATGAACTTTGGCGTTCCAAACAACCTGGGATGAAGTTATATGAAAAATCCTCTTGTCACAGACGGTTTCTGAATGTTACGATCCACAAATCCTTTCTAGATTTCTGCCTTTTCCAATCACAGCATTCTGACTTTAGCGCTTCCTCATAGAGCAGCTCTGGTAAATCTTTATATTTTGAGGAAGTTCAATTATCCCCCTAAATCACACCTTTTGTAGTACAATTCAACTCTTGCAACTGAAGGCTTACAAACCTTGGGAAACATCATGAGTTAGCCTATTTTGAGTGGCAGCAGTAGCAGTAGGGCTGAAATCAAGATCTGGCCTCTACTTTCGGGCCCAGGCTTAGCACTGCTGCTGAATGCTACCATTCAGGGTGACTTAGATGGGGTGGAGGAGATAAATAACAGAATAGGGACCATGGAAGTCTAGTCCAACCCCCTGCTCAAGCAGGAAACCCTATACCAGGGATGGTTTTTAAGCAGAGTCAAATTACGCATTTTCCAAATTTTTGACATTCTGAGCCCCAAAATTTCACTATCACTGGTCTAAATTATCTAGCTACACCACTGCTGACAGGTTGAGATCTCTTTGGCCTAAAACCTTAGCATTCCCCAGTTGGAAAAGACATTTATTGTATGATTTATGGACTGAGGGGTTAAAAAGGGTTAAAAAGGAAGAGGAAGGAGTAAGATAGCAATTGCTCAATAGAAAGAAGGGCTAAAATCATAATTTGATGTTTTCGTTCTGGTTTGCTTCTATTTTCTCATCTTCTACCTTTTTCTTTGTTTTTCCTTTATTTTTTTATATTTTTATTCTAATAAATACTAATAACATATTGAAAAAGAAAATAGATTTAATGTATCATAATTGTTTTTTTGTATGTGTGTGTGTGTGTGTGTGTATTTGCATACAGATTCAGACACATAGAAAGAAAACAAATAAGAAGAAAGCCATCACTAAGAAAAGCCCAGTAACATGAGCTTATGGGAATACAGATTTAAGAAAACTCACCTGGTACCAAAATTGACAAACTTACAAGTTACCCTGAATTTCTTCTGTTAACCTTTCTGCTGCTGTTTTAATACTCTTTTATTCTGGCTTGGGCTACTCCCGTTTTATATATTTTGGTTGTTTAAAATTATGTAATTCACTCCAAGATCGCTGCTTCCTGAGAGTGGGATAACTTGAAAAAAATGAAATAAACAAGCTGCCAAAGCAGCAAGTTAAGATAAGAATTTATCAGGATAAGGAGACAACTTCAAGAAAATTCATCTAGTCAGAACTAGCTTAGGCTAGAAAATGGCACCTATGCAGATTGCCTCATGCCTTACCATTCCTGATAAAGAGATATGCTATATGTATATACTATGAGCTCCCTTGTCTGTTGGGCCCGTGGGATCTAACTAGCAAAGACATTTGGGTAAATTCAAGGTGAAAGTTACTAAACAGAGGTAAAAACAGTGGGTTAGCTCTCTCAAGTATTCTTCAAAACAACTGCCAGAAAATTTTTTCCTCTTGTTTTGATATCCTTTGGGTTTTCTTTTCATGTTTCTGTTAGGATACCTAAATATTATTGCAAAATGGAATTCTATGGCCTTTCCAACTAATTCTCAAGGACTCTGGGGACCAATTTAGGCCATCTGTTCGAGGCTTCATGAACAGTGGGATCAAAGCAATATGTAGCTTATTATTATTAATAGCACATCACCCCAAACCCCCTTTTTATCATCTTTCTGATACTCTCTTGACTCTCAACCAAGCAGCAGACAGCACAGAAGAAAAGATTTACATAAGCTTTGAAATTAAGCCTCACAGCCACATATTGTCCTACATCTTCAAGCTGCCATCCCTCATCTACAACATCCTGTGTGGATCATGCATTAATAGAACTTCAGATCCTTTTTTTTTGAACCAACCAAAAGAAAGGCAGACAACAATATCTTTCACTTGCTGCACTTTCAGCTAGTATTTCCAGTTTCAGTTCAGAAAAGTGGAACATATTAATTACAATGTAATTAATTAATGAATGAAATGCCAGACAATTACCCAATTCTCATTTATTTGTACCTGTCACTTTTATTTATCTCATTAGTCTATCAAGATATACAGTACATGCCAAACAGCAAGCAATTTTTTCCTTGGAAGTAATTGCAAACTGTGATCTGTAAGTGCCAGCTAGGGAGACTTCCATAATGAACAGAAAGCCTGGCATGGAAAATGCTAAAAGTAACATATAAATTCTTCCGTATCTGGGAATCTGAACAAGATTAAGAGTCCCACATATAAAACCAAGCTTCCAAAATGTCATTATCCACTCAGTGTGCAAATATCATTATGTCTTCCTATAACTGTCATTGCCACTTTTTAAGAATATATAAGATACCAACATGAAATGTCAACATAGGTATGGGATATTGTGAAGAAGGAAAAAGAGCCAGGGCATCTTGACAGTAACACATTACTTACATCACTGCACACTGAGCAAATGAGAGGTAGTCCACCAGCACATCCAGGCCTTTGTTTTCATCATTGAGAAATTCACGCACCCACCTGCAAAAACACAAAAACACAAACTGACTTCAAAATGTCATTATTCCAGATGTTTTGTGATGTGACTTACTGACTATGTTTAAAGTCCAACTGTGGCACTTTTCGAGGTCCATCCTTCCAACCAGCTGTCCCCAACCTGATGTCCTCCAGATGAGGCAACAATTTCCAGCTGATGGAAGATTGCCTCTTTATGCATTCAAATAGTGTTTAAAGAAAGATGTTCATTTGTTTACCCATCCAATTTTGAAGCCATCTGACTCCTGGATCACTCTGGGCAACCTACAGATGAACTTAAAAAAAACATGCAACGATGGCCTACTTGACATTTAAGCATAGAGTCTATGAACCTAAAAACACTGAGAAGAAGGAAAGAGGAGAAAATTATACTGGGTAGCAAGCAGCATTCAAGGAAATAAAAGACATGGATGTGACTAGATATTAACTTGGAATCCTTCAATGGACACGAGCCGCATCCATGTCTTTTATTTCCTTGAATGCTGCTTGCTATCCAATATAATTTTCTCCTCTTTCATTCTTCTCAGTGTTTTTAGGTACATAGGCTCCACACTGCCATTTCATCCATTTGATTGTGACAATTCAGGTGATTGCAACTCTCAGGAATGAGTTGTTATAATCTGAGTTTATGTACACATTAAAAATTGTAATGTTTTGATTAATATTAATCTTATCTTCCTCCTCCTTTTTGCTGGTTCTTCTGTTTCTGCTATTTTTAGAAACACTTATATACTTGATTGTACCTAACCTTGTTTTATGTTAAGATCTCAGGGATAGATTTTGCCTAAAAAGACAAGATATTAATTAGTTATATAAATTAGACAGATTCAGTGGGTATATACAGTATAATCTTGCACAAAAATCAAATTCATTGTCTCCTGCAATATACTGAATTAGTACTTTGAGCAGGGTTTCTCAAACTGTATATCGCCTTCGGGGAAGTGGTACAGGATGAGTTCAAGGGAGGGATGAAGAACCTTTTAGTTTTGCTTTGTTATAATAAATCCACATCTTCCAATATTTCATTATACTGTTTTCATTGTTCATTTGGGTATTTAAATTTTTAGGGGAGATACATATATTAATATTACACTAAAGGGAGGTATGATGGCAAAATGTTTAGGAACCTCTAATTTAGATACTTGAAAACCCACATGAATGACAACAGTCTGGGAGGGCAGCCTATTCAATGAAGGTTCATGGAATTATAATTCAAATTGTGTATGGAAAGCAAATATGCTCCAATGAGATGTCCCTTCCCAATGGGAAATTCTTGAATTTTGTATTTTGTTTACAACAACGAGGAGCTACCACAATCTCCCTGAACAAGTGAATGGCTATCTCCAGCTTTCAGAGACACCAGCCTAGACATCAGACATCAACACTTCTCCTTCTCAAATAACTCCAATCAAACTCAGCTTATTTTTAGAACGATGTCCAGTCTGGTGTTTTGGAGCAATGTATATAAACTGGACAGGGTTCAGAGAAGACAGAAGAACATGATGAATTTAGAAGGAAATCAGCAACTATGGCCCACCCAATGTCAGTTCAGGGAGATAGTGGTGGCCCCTAGTCGTTGTAAACAAAATACTGTAACTGGTACAGCTTTATCTTTCAACAGCAGGGAAGGGAGTGTTTGCTTAGGTTCTAAGACATCTGCTGGAGATCCCTCACCCTCCTGTAGTCTTTGATGCAAGGAGGGAAAATAGCACGGGAAACAAATGGGACGAATCTGTAGGCAAAGAATCAAACTGAACATGTTGGGTAGTACCAAATGAAGCTGTGAATGTGTATGACTTTGTACGTGGAGATGTGCCAACCCAGGAACAAGTACTGTACATCATAAGAGAGAGAATGCCTGCAGCTAGTGGTTTCAATATGTGCTGTTATTTCCTGAAGCAGCTTTGGCTGACTGCAATTTTGACCATTAATCATCTGGACCCTGAAATGGTACATATGGTCTCCCTTTCCCTCTCTCTCCCTCTACACCCGCCCATTTCCTGCTTGTCTGAACTTCAGCCTCCAACCCCAGTGTGTTTCCTGCCTGATTTCAGTGGCTGCACTACTAATTTAGAGTCTTCAATGCATCTGCTGAAGGCTAAAGGATGTGGAGGAAGGAGCAAAGGCTCTCTAAGGCAAATCCCATCCTGTAGTCAGGTAAGGAAGAGGAATTATGAGCGGGTGTGTGAGTTCCTTGCAGAAGAGGAAGCTGCACAATTTTTTTTTAAGTGTGTGCTTACATAGATGTTTCTTTACAAATGCATCTGCTGCTGTGCCTGATTAACTACAGCTGATTGGCAAAGCACATGTTTTGTAGATAGGTGTCCCAAGGATTTACACAAAACATTTCTCAATCTCTGACCTGGAGAGCCATTGTCAATTACAGCAAATACCAGATTAGATCTACTATGCCTCTGACAGTCATTTTATGCCTTCACTGGAAGGAATAAATCCTCAAGAGCAAGTGAGAGACAAGGCATAGATGTGAGTGAGCGCCTGCATGCACTGGTATTCATTTGTGTACATGATGCAAATAATCACTGGGCTTAGGAAAGTCTCATAGACTGCTTCCAACCAGGAATATCACTAACACCAACAGTTCAGCCCCAGCTGTGTTAAGAACAGAGAAACAGGGGTTCAAACAAGTGGCCCAAGAGGAAGGAAGGAAGGAAGGAAGGAAGGAAGGAAGGAAGGAAGGAAGGAAGGAAGGAAGGAAGGAAGGAAGGAAGGAAGGAAGGAAGGAAGGCAGGCAGGCTGGCTTGAGAAATTTGGGGCAGATCCCTGCTGGGTTACATTACGGGATGTCCATTCTCCTCCGAATTTATTTGTTTGTTTGTTTGGTATTTATATTGTTTATTGCTTATTTGTTTGTTTATTCACCAAACAAAAATTACAAATTCTAACGAACAAAATGAAATAACTAAAATGTGATAGGGACAATAGGCATGTTAGTGCACTTAGACACGCCCCCTTAGGAACCTCTTAAATATAGGATGAGGTCCACAGAAGCTAAGTTAGAATTAAAACTGTAAAAGTTAGGAGCTGAGAGAACTGAACTGGGTAAGATATTCCAGACTTTGACAACTCTGTTACAAAAAATGATTTTTTTTTTATTTGAATAGACTGTTGTTTACAAGAAAGCAAAAGTAAGCTTTAGAAAGATAGAGGAAATTTTATCAAGGACATGTGGATTATTTGTAGCAGTTGAAGATTGTCTGCAAGAAGCAGGTTACCCTCCAAGATTGCATACATGAGCAGGGATTGCATTATGTCCTTGTGTGCTTCCTTCTCCCCCAGAGAATGAGAGCTTGTTCCCCCATATACCCAACCCTATCCCCCGTCTGAATCATAGCCTTCTAAAGTTTTTCTGTGCCAAAGATTCTGCTGTGTCCAAGTCAGGGACACACTCCAAGTTATATTCTTATCATGGTTGTTCCTTTTTTTCTTATCATAGTTGTTCCAAATTATCCCTGATTCCATTCCCAGAAATGTTGAGTTCTGTGACTAATTGCCTATTGCAAAAATATGCTTTTGATAATCATTGGGAGTGGTCAAAAATAACAGCTGGGAATGATGGAAATTGTAGTCAATAACATCACGATGGCATATGTCTGTCCTACATTGGTAAACCTCACTGACAACCTCACCGCTGCGATGAAACCAGGTTTTCATCTACACACGCGTTCAATTCTATTTTTGTAGATTAAGACCACGAAATGTTGGAAAGTGATTATGGATAATTTGCAGTTTAGTTTGCACCCAGTTCACTCCCAGTCACTTCCTTTATCCAGATGACAGCAAGTTCACCTATCACTCAGCTCAACTAGCAGATTATATGAATGTATAAAAACATCCGCAAACATCAAAATAGGTACCAGACAAAAGCAAGGAAAAGAAAGAGATGAACCAGAGGCAAAAAATTTTCTATTATCTATAGATAGATAAGTAACCGTTATTGTCATTTTTTACTGGGGCATATTGGCACACATTAAAAATGAAATTTAGTTGCTTGCTCTCCAAGTCTACACATGCGTAACACACATTTAAACATGCTATATACAACATATGTATAAACCTACACCCTTACATATAAATATTAAACACTGTCCATCTTGAATACATGAAGAGGATGTGTAGTGTCCCAGACAATCTTGCGGACCCTCCTCAAGCAACACTTGTATGCTATGTCCAGGATGGAAGGGAGGGAACTGCCAATACTGTAATCTTTTCTGCCATCACTACCCCGCACCACCTTCCTGTCTGAAGCAGTACATTCACCTGTATCGATCAAAAGGCATGGAACTTTCAAAAGCACTAGAAACTGCACTGGGGGTAACTAGCATGGACAATCCCAAAGGGAATGACCTTTGGATATTCCAGCCTTAACCCTCTTATGTGCATAAAAGCAGCAAATTAGAGATGGAAAGGAGAACACTGAGTAATTCCTCCTGCATTCTGCATCATAAAGGAAGCAACTGGTGGATGGGAAGGAAGTATCCAGTATAAAAACTGAAGGTTATTGACTGTTGTTCTGCTCAGCCAACATAATTTTCTGAGTTTTGTCTTGCAGAAGAGATGCTGGCCCAGTTATTCATGTCTTCTCATTATAAATAGCTTCCATGACTCACTATTATGAAGCAGAAAAGATTTACATGTATTGATTTTCAGTAAAATCTGCATATATAATTTTTTTTCTCACTCTTGAATAGGAACTAGAGCATGAAATATTGTTCCAATAAATAATTATGCAATATTTTGCCATTTTTCATGTCACATAGCAAAAACAATTACAGTTATCATCATAATAGAACCTGAATTATTGCTAATAATAATAACAACTGAAAGTTAACATAATATCTTCCCGAATTGCTGAAATAATTCATATCTACTATGAAAATAGAGGAGAGACTGTTTGCTTCAACGTGGCCTGCTAACCTCTTAAAAAAAACTGCTTTACATTTTCAGCAGTGGCCCCACAGTCTTTCCTTCTGCTAAACCCCTGTTTAGCAGAAGGAAGAGAATACCATTTGGTGCCAGAAAATTATTTATGATTAACATTCTGGTGCTTTGGGGGAGAAAACTGTGCTGTTCTTCCAGGTGACTGGGAGAAAAAAGCACTCTGATAAATAATAGCACACCTAGCTTTCTTATCCACGATAAATAATTCTAGCACAGGGGTCTTTAAACTTGGCCCTTTTATGACTTGTGGACTTTAACTCCCAGAATTCTAAGTTTGAAGACCCGTGTTCTATATATATATAAATAAATTAATAAAAACTTCATTTGACCTGGTTAACTATCTTGTTTGGATTGTTCAGCTGAATACCGGTACCTTGGATTTCCAGATTTTAATCCTTTGCATCCACAATTCACTGTCTACTGTAATTCAGCTGATGGGGTGGGGTGGGGAATGTCCTTAACTCTGAACTCTGTGCTCTTCAGAACAGTTGAGTTTTGCCTTAGTGACGAATTCTGGATTAGAAAGCCTGAATGCTTTATTTTCTGACACATTGTGCACTATGATTCTCTTCAGATATTCATACATGTACCTCATTCTACCTTTTGTAAAATATTTGATTCTGCCCCATACTCCTAGCATTTGGCCTTTTTTCATCCCTTTCAGATTCCTGAATCTCATACCTTGTGTTATTGTTTGTTCAGACCTCACCAAAGGATACTGCTGACTAAGCATCACCCTTGGTATCAGTTCCAACTGGCCTGAGGAATTCCTACCCAACCAGGCTCAGAAGCCAAGAACAGGAACAGTTCAGCTTCCTGCTCTTGTTGGTGTTTCCCTTCCAGCTGGAACCAGGACAGGTGGGAGACAGGAACACATTTCTCAATTCTCTATAGCGGGCTTGCAAACTTTTTAGATATGATAGGAATCTTTTTGCTAGGGTGTAGCAATCTAGATGTGAAATTTAGGGAGTAAGAAAGGCAGGGGATTAAATGTTTCTTTGTACAAAATACCACCCTTGAATGGGGAATGGGTCCTATCTTAAATCCAACTTCTTGTCAGATTACGAAGGGCTGCATAGAAAGAGTTCAAGTCAGAAAAGACCCAGATCAATTTTCTTCCTTTTGACAAATCATCTCCAGGTCGGGTACTCAAAACATGCTAAACCCTAAACTGAAATTAACAAAACACAACTGTTGTGTTCACATCCTTTTTATAACTTAATGTGAAGGCTTAATTCACACAATATATTTCTCAGAAATACTGGCCCATAATCTATATCAGTGATGGCGAACCTTTTAGAGACCGAGTGCCCAAACTGCAACCAAAACTCACTTATTTATCTCCAAGAGGCCGGGTGGGCGTGGCCCACTGGGTGGGCATGGCTGCGGTGGTCAAGGCAGACTGGGTGGGCGTGAGTGTGGCCACCTCGATGTTGCTCATGGTGGGGGCCAGGCAGGGTTGGGGGAGTTCCAGGAGGTCTCTGGTGGGTGGGGCGGCTGGGTGAACCAGTTGCTAAATTATTTGAAACCCACCACTGGTCACTTCCAAAGGCCATGTGCTCGCTCGCTTGCTGCCCACCGTCGCTTCCAAAGGCCGCTCACTCACTCTTCTGCCAAAACCTGCTCCTTTTATAGGTTCCCTTCTCCCCGCCCAAGTCTTGCAGCTGTTCCCGGACTCTGCACGTGTGGAGAGGGGGAGGGGAGCAGCCCAGGCCCACGTCCCTCTGTCTGGGGCGACGGCGTGGGTGCCCACAGAGAGAGCTCTGAGTGCCACCTCTGGCACGCATGCCATAGGTTCGCCACTACTGATCTATATAGTCTGATCTAATACATTGTGCAAACCCTACAATCATATGATCCCTGGACAGATCTCTGTATTATAGTTTTGGCTTGACTACTAAGGATCAACCATTTACTGCTATTCTGTATTGGTTTAAAGGCTAGCCTGAATATATGAAAAACTGTATGGATCATAGCATGAATTCATGCAATCCAGCAGCCAGAGAGAAAACACCTCATCCCTGTGAGATAACATACAACATCAAATATAATGCCTGTTCAAATGGCACTTTCTCAGAATGACACATGATACACTTGTTCAAAAGTTAACAATAACTTACCCAATGTGATTGGTCCTTAAAGAGATCTCCAGCTCCCTCAGCACTTTGGTGGATTCCTGCACCCTCCGACGGAACTTCTGTAAGCACAAATAACTCCTTGCTCTAGTAGTATACAGCACAATCAATTTTTTACACAAAAGAACCACAACTGCAGAGGCAGGATGGACCATCAGTTTAAATATGCTAGCATTTCCTTTTCTATCACTCTTCATATCCCCCTACTGCCTTTATTGTTTAAAAGAATAATAATTTTACCATTTATTATAGATTTTGTAACGGAGGATGTATCTAATCATCAATAAGATGGATATTTCCATGTCAGAAGGATTTGGGCTTGATTCAATGATAACTGTATTTCTTTTCTTTTTTTGTTGAGTAGGAAAAAAAACAGCTCTCCTCTTAAGCAAGGCCTGCACTGCAGAGGTCCAGAGGTGGTTTTGAGTGGTATGAAGAGTCTATTGTGTGTAGAAGAGTCCCCTTTGCGCGTTCAGCACTGCCAAATTGCTGCCTGCCCAATGAGTTTGTAGATAAGTCACCACAACTTGTGGGTTGTAGGATATATTTATTTTTCACAATTACAATTGTGGTAGCTTCCACTCCAATGACTTATCCCTTATACAGGTAATCCTTAACTTACAACCACAACTGGGACCAGAATTTCCATTGCTAAATGAAATCACCCCTGATTTTATGGCCTTGTCAGGTCAGGTCCCTGTCGGAACGCTGCCATTCCAAAGGGAGGGGGGCAGTTATTTGGGGTTTCAAGAATGTGTTGCTTTTGCTCTGATGTATTGGTATGAGAAATAGGAAGGGGTGAATGGGCCATCAGGACCATCTGGATGGACTCCTTTCCAGCCGGATTCAGCCTGTTACCAAGATCGCAGCACCAAGAAGACAACTTGTTATCACCTTCTCGTCTTGGAGTTCCCATAATAACTTTAAGCCAGCAGATTGGATCCTGATGGACTGGGGCTTTGGGGAGGGGTTTGAACAATGGGAAATTAGGTTAACGATTCATGTGGGAACTTCAGATTCTGCCTGGCTTCTCTGCAATCACTTTCTCTCAGTAAAAGATCCTTTTGAAATAATGCTTGTTGCAAGAGTCATGCTTTCTTGAGTAAATAGCTGAGGCAGGACCTTACAGGCCTTTTTTGTGACCGTTGTTAAATGAATCACTGCAGTTGTTAAATGAATCAGGTGGTCGGGTAAGCTAATCCAGTTTTCCCCATTCGCTTAGCTTACTGGAAGTTGGCTAGAAAGATCACAAAAGTGATCACATGACCTGAGATGCTACAATTGTTGTTAAGTATATGCCAGTTGCCAAGTGTCAGAATTGATCATCTGACCGTGAAGATGCTGGAATAGTCTTAAGTGCATAGACAGGTCACTGTTTTTTCAGTGGACTGTAACTAGTCACTAAACAAATGGTTGTAAGTTGAGGACCACATGTATTTTATTAGTTTTAATTTAATAGTAAATAATATTCTGCTTGGACCAATGCATAGCTAACGCTTTGGTATGCTATACAGCAGGGGTAGTCAACCTTGGCTCTTTTATGACTCGTGGACTTCAACTCCCAGAATTCCTGAGCCAGCCAAGCTGGCTCAGGAATTCTGGGAATTTAAGTCCACGAGTCATAAAAGAGCCAAGGTTGACTACCCCTGCTATAAAGTGTGGGGGAGGGGAAGGAGGAAGCTGTTTCTTTGGTCACCGTTCTCCTAATATTGGAAACCATATTAAAGAAGTCTTTTAAGGCTTACCTTTCGGGTAACACCTGGATCGAGGAAGCTCTTCAATTTCTGTATATATGTGTGGGGTGGATTCTTCACTTGAAACCTTTCCTGTTCCATGTTGGGTAGAGAAAAGAAATTGGGGGGTGGGGAGAGATAGAGGGAATTACTGTGAATGCAAGAAGTCTTTGAAAGCCAGCACTGGAATGCTGCATTATGGATTTATTAATTCAAGAACTTCCCCTCAGCATACAAAGCCCTCACTTGCACTGAAAGCATGCCAGCCAGGGACTCAACTTAGGTACCTACTAATCCAAATAGCAGATGCTTCTTTATGTCTGCTTCCCTAATAAACTTGAAAGGAAGGCCATTTTCATTTTATGCTTCACCCAGATAGTTTCTGCTCTTTTTCTTTGTGCTCATATGTTAGAAAAGCCTGTCCCTATAATTTCAAGATTGTTAAGACTAGGCACAATTACTCTGTTGAAGAGTTTTACTTCTAAGTGCGCAGGAATATAGGAGCAGGTTGTAAATAATCAAACTGAAAACCATTTTCTTATCCAAGTTCCCACATACTCACAGACTTGCAAAAATAATATTTTGAATCCACGAACATTGTTTCAAATAAATTCATAGAGTTTGGGATTTAAGTTGCGGCTACTACTTCAGGATCAAAGGCCTTTGGATATGATATTGGTGACTGTATTAATGTCCTACATTTAGCTTTGATCAAATACAGTATCAGGGCTGATCCAGCAGCCTCTTCTAATTCTGTGTAGTGTCCATTTGCATGCATATGTTTAGGTGTAGCAGTTCTTTACAGGATTTGTTTTCCTCTCCAGATGGTTTCTCCTGATAGTTCATCCCATGAAAAGCAATTTTCCTTTAAAATAACCCAAGAATTATTTCAGGGACTCTGCACTTCTGTACTGCTCTTGAGAAAAGTTTTTGGGCTGAAGCACATATCACTTTTCTTGGCCAAACTTTGAGAGCAACACTGATAGATGAGTTGCAATAGTTTTACACTTACATCCTGAATTACTCTAGGTTTGACACAGTCTTTAGCAAAAGGCCCTGTAGTTAGCCATGTTCTATATTGGCACCTTCCTGCTTATTTGGCAGTTGGGGCCAAGACCATACTAAGATAACTCCTTGTAGGTTTTTGTTTGGTTTGGGATTGGTTTTTTGTAGGGAAATAAGGGAAGTATTAGCAGTGAAGCCTATCTGGGCTCAAGTGGTATTTTAGGGATGCTCCGTGAAAAAGTCAGATCTCTCTTGCATCTTTTAAGTGTTGTTCTCTATATTAGTGTTTATTAAACTTTTTTCTGGGGCCCCTTCCCAGTTTTAAAGATTATACCTTTTAACTTTTTATAGATTTATTGATATTTGCAAAATTAAACATTAAAATTAATAATAATAATAAAGTTGGAAGGGACCTTGGAGGTCATCGAGTCCAACCCCCTGCTCAGGCAGGAACCCTACATCATTTCAGACAAATGGCTGTCCAGTCTCTTCTTAAAAACTTCCAGTGTTGGAGCATTCACCGCGTCTGGAGGCAGGTTGTTCCACTGGTTAATTATTCTAACTGTCAGGAAGTTTCTCCTTAGTTCTAAGCTGCTTCTCTCTTTGATCAGTTTCCATCCGTTGCTCTCGTCCTGCCTTCAGGTGCCTTGGAGAATAGCTTGACTCCCTCTTCTTTGTGGCAGCCCCTGAGATATTGGAACACTGCTATCATGTCCCCCCTCGTCTATATTTCTCACAATCGTTTGATGGGACTTTACTATTAAATAAATCATTTCTCAACATAAACTGGCAAATAATTTTGATTTTGCAGGGCCTTGAGAAGATCTTGGAGGACTCCCCAGGATTCTCAGACCACACTTTGAAAAACACCACTCTAAGAATATCAAACTGACCAAAATTGTCCAGAAAATAAAAAGCACTGGAGCATTTTTTTCCCCCTTCAGTTTGTAACGGAGCTTTACCTAGATCAAGTGTAGAAATTTCCCATTATTTACAGGGATAACAGGGACCCCTTGACTTCAGCAGCCATGTATCAAAAAAGCCTACAGATAGGGAGATGTTGCCTGCTCTTTTAAAGGAAATCAAAGCCCTTAGATCACAGGTGTCAAAATTCAATCGCATCACATGATGTATCATGATGTATCATGACTTTTTTTTGCCTTTGCAGAGCCGGAGTGGGCGTGGCCTGCCCATGACGCATCCGGCCCTTGGACCGCCAGTTTGACACCCCTGCCTTAGATCAAGGGGACCACATGTTGCTTCTGGCAATAGTCCTCTTGCCTGAGTCATAAGCTGATATGCCCTGACATGTTGTCTCTTTCATGTTGGCAAAGTCTCTCTCTCTCTCCCTTTCCCTCCCCCCCTCTATCTTAGCTCTTCCAGCTCTCTTACCTGGTCACAAATTAGGTCCCATTTCTTCTCGTTGTCATATTGCCTCAGAAGACGGGCCTTGTCAGGAGGGAGATTCATGGAGCTCTGTGGAAAGAAGTAGAGGGACAGGTAGTGGGGAGGCACACCAGACTGCCTTCTGCATCCTGCAATCCATCTTCAGGACTGGGTGTGTGGTAGAAAGTATGCATTATGGTTTATATTCTGCAATGGGCTGCTGGACAGAGGGCAGGGTTTATTTTATTATTTTATTATTATTTGTATCCCGCCTTTTTTATTTTTAAGAATAACTCAAGGTGCCAAACATATCCAACACACTGTCCTCCTCCTATTTTCCCCAAAACAATAACCCTGTGAGGTGGGTTGGGTTGAGAGTCAATGACTGGCCCAAAGTCACCCAGCTGGCCTTCAGGGTCAAGGCATGACTTGAACTCACCGCCTCCTGCCCTCCAGCTTGGTGCCCCAACCACTAGACCAAGCTGGCTCTCTCTTGGCAGACTCTCTCTTTGTTAAAAATAAATAAATAAATCATCAATTAATTAATTCATTTATATAGCTGCCCATCTGCCCATCTTGTATCAAACTCTGGATGGCTCTCAGGAAACAATTAAAGCAACATATATAATAAAACAAAATAATATATATTAAAACCAACAACATTAAAAACCTGGCACCAAAATTAAGCTTCCACATGCATTCCTCATTAAATCCTCTCATCCACTTCACCTTATCCCAGTACTTGGGGGGGGGAGTCTGGTTTTAAGTATTTTTCAGAAGGCTAAGAGGACAGAGGCCTGTCAAACTGCAAGGGGAAAGGCATTCCATAGAGCAAGGGCTGCCACAGAAACAGGCAGATCCCGTAAGATGGCGATGTTTAAGAGAAGGTACTAGGAGCATGTGGGCTGGCAAACTTTCAAGACCTGTCTTGACTGGACTGCAGAAGAACATACTGGTTTGTTGAGAGTCCAGAATTTAAACAAAAACCACAGAGCATCCAGGACACTGAAGCTAATAGCCTTCAGAGTCTTTGCGCAAGCCTTTTGTTATAAGCTACAACTTTTACGGTACCATCCTGAGCATCTCAATTTGGAAGCCAAGCACATTGAGTTTTGCGGAATGTCGCAGGTGACTGCATATTGAACTGTACCTCAAACATTAAAATTGTGATTCCAGTTTTGCGCCCGCAGCGCATGGCTGCGCGAGAGCGGACCTCTGCTCCCCATAGCTAGTTTCTTCTTGCTTGGGGGACCCTAGATGGGTCCGAAATTGCCCCGAAGAGGTGACCGTGAAGGAGGGGTGCCCCGTTGTTCACGAAGCGATGGCAATCGCTTAGTTTGATCCGGGGAAAGCCCTCCGAACCCGACAGGAGAAAGGCTAGCGTGAGATCAGCGTCTAGCTCAAGCTGCTTGCAGCCGAAGTTCCAGAGCACGAACCTAAACATCGGTGAACAGAGTGCTTGGAATTGGTGAGAGTACTGATCTTCTTTCTTCTATCTATTATCCAAATCCTTGAAAAGATCCCCAAAGCAAGAAAACCTCCAGAAGTGAAGGGAGCGGACTATATCCCCATTTCCTTACAGATGGAAGCGGCAAATTAATATTAAAGGAGGGAAGAGATATATTAAAATTTGATTTAAAATACTTCAGTCCGGACAAATTTAGGAACTAAAAAACTGTCAAGATTCTACCCTAAAATTTTTTGATGGAATTATAAAAATATATAAGAAAAATAACTTTTTGATTGAAAGAAAAACTGAAAAAAGAAATAACTGTTGACATCTAGTGGAGACTCAGAGAATAGTACACTAACAATAAGGACTCAGAAATTGGCAGAATGCCTAGAAACAAAGAAAAAGTTGTTCCTTTGAATTGCAAATAATCTTGAAGACAGCTGGGAAAAAAGGAAGAGCCAGCTATAAGATTAAAAAGTGTTTCAAAGGGGGAAAAAAAAACACCTGGACTGTTGCTTAAATCTAAGAACCGTTTATGGAAAAGAAAAACCTTGGCTTTTTGGCTAATCGTTTAAAGGAGAATCTATAGAAGCGGTTCTCAACCTATGGGTCGCGACCCCATTTGGGGTCGATCGACCATTTCACGGGGGTCGCCAAGCAAGGCTGTCTGCCATTTTTTTGTCTGCCATTTTTTCCCCCTTTTCCGGCGGGTGCCTTATCTCCCTTGGGCTGGGCCAGCTGGTGGTCGGCCTGCTCCATCTCTGCCGCTTGCCAGCTATGCCTCAGCCGGCGCAAGGGGCGGAACCACGCATTTGCGGCGCTCCCGGGTAGGGAAAGTCCTTGACTTACGACCGGTTGGGTAGTCCTCGACTTACGACCGGTTTAGTCATCGACTTATGACCGGTTTAGTCATCGACTTACGACCGGTTTAGTCATCGACTTACGACCAATTGGGGGTCGCGGCATTAAAAAGGTTGAGAACCACTGATCTATAGGAAGGATTTAAAGTGGCTTAAGATACTGAGCTGCAATTTGGACTGACTGATAAATTGACTTTTGAATTAAAACATTGATGAAAGACTATTTGAAGGGAGGAGGCACCATGGATATCACATACCACCATGGATATCATGTATCAAAAAATGACAGGATGCCACATTCAATATTTTCTCCTGAAGGACATAGCCTGAAAAATCAAGGGCCTCCAGAAGCAATACTTCAAGGCACGATAAATACTTTCCAGGAGGAAATATATGTAATGTTAGGACAAATACAAATGACAATAGACTCAAATCACAAGGAAATCCGAAACAACTTTGATGATTTAAACAAGCATATTTCCAACCTAAATTTACAATTAAAAAACACCCAGGAAATAACAACAAAGGCACAAATAAATCAGACAGCAGACTACAAATTAGAAGAGTATGATCAAATTGATGAAACAACAAAGAACAAGAATTAAAATTTGACACAAACAGGAAAAAATCTTCAAGGTTCTGATACAACAAGAAAAATGAAATTATCAGGAGAACCATCAAATTCTACTCTTCTCTACTTTTCCATAGTCATCTCTGATCTCAGTGAATAGAATAGATATGATAGCTTTAGGGCAGTGATGGCGAATCTTTTAGAGACTGAGTACCCAAACCGCAACCCCAAACCCACTTATTTATCGCAAAGTGCCAGGACCGCATCAGCATTGTGGTGCCCTGGGGGGGGGAGGCACCTCTGAGTGCCATCTCTGACATGCAAAAACTGGTGGCAAAAAAATGGGCCACTGCGCTGCAAGGTGCAAAAATGGCCACTGCCATGCCACGGGGTGCAGATACAAGGCGTTGCACCATGTAAGAATGGGGCAGGGCTAGTGGGTATCACGCAGGCACTAGCCCCACCCCATTTGCAGCACGTACATTCTCGCGGCCCCATGCGCACATGCACGCATGTAAAATGCTTCCCCCTCCCTTTTCTTCCAGTCCACCAATCGACAATGGTTGGTGACCTCTGCTCTACCACCTCTACTCGAGTTTGCTAGTCGGCCACTTCGCCTTCTTTGTGCTGGATGGGGCTCCTTCTCCAGGCAGCGGGGGCGACCTGATGGACCTGCTGCTGGCAGCGATGGCTCTGAGTGCCACCTCTGGCACGCGTGCCATAGGTTAGCCACCACTGCTTTAGGGCTTAGCAAGAAATAATAACCCAAATGAGAAAGTAAAATGAAATTGTCTTACTGTAAAGTATTCTGAATCACACCACTGGTTCACCTGTCTATTAATTTGTGCTGTGACTAGAAGCACTTCTTCCCACCCTGAAAGCATCAAACAAAGTTTTCTCTAACAATGTGAAATAATTATATATTAACTCAGGACTGCTATGGATCCAACATGTGCCTTTATTATCCAGGTTTGTTTGTTTGTTTACATTATGGTAAGAAGTGAACTGAAGGTAGTTTGAAAAGAGAAGGATGTTTCTTACATCTGCACTCTTTCCATTCTTGTACTTTTTAAAGTAGAGTAGAGTAGAGTAGAGTAGAGGCTGGAAGGGACCCTGGGGGTCTTCTAGTCCAGCCCCCTGCTCAAGCAGGAGAACCTACACTATCTCAGACAGGTGGTTGTCTAGTCTCTTTTTAAAAATCTCCAGTGATGGAGCGCCCACGAATTCTGGGGGTAAGCTGTTCCATTGGTTGATTATCCTCACTGTCAAGAAGTTTTTCCTTAATTTCAGGTTGTTTCTCTCCTTGATCAGTTTCCAACCATTGTTTCTCGTCCTTCCCTCTGGTGCTCTGGTGAAAACCTGACCCCTTCTGCCTTATGGCAGCCCCTCAGATACTCGAATACTGCTATCATGTCTCCCCTATTTCTTCTTTTCTTTAGACTATCCAAGCCCAAGTCCCGCAGCTGTTCTTCGTATGTTTTAGCCTCCAGGTCTTTGATCATCTTAGTTGCTCTTCTCTGAATTTTTTCCAAACTCTCAACATCTTTTTTGTGATATGGTGACCAAAATTGGCTGCAGTATTTCAGGTGTGGTCTTACTAGGGCTTTGTAAAGCGGTACTAATACTTCGCGTGATCTTGATTTTATGCCTCTGTTTATACAACTCAGGATTGTATTAGCTTTTAGTTCCTCTATAACACAGTAAGAAAAACTAGTATAACTACATACAGTACCAGAAGAAGCTAATCATCTCTCAAACCATGTGTACCTTTTTAAAATCACAACATGTCACAAGTCAAATCCCAAAAAGGAACCTCTGGTGTTATGGATATTACTGTTCATGTAGGCATGAAAAATGGCTTGCATGCTGTCAATGCTTCTGGCTCTAGTTTAGATCTTAAAGCTGCTAGACTTAAGACTGCTCAAAATAAGACTTAGAAGTTTTCCTCCAAAGGTCTCCAGCTGGTGGCATACAATACATCAAAATAATCTGTTTCTAAAATTAGGGTGGGTTGAATTTTTTTTTCAGTTCCTTGCCTCATTCAGTGTAGAAATTTCCAGTGTCTAAATCTGTGTCTGCGGGTAAGTTGCATGTAAGCCTTCAAGTTACTTTGGATTCTTGCAAACTACAAGGACAAGTCCGTGCAACTTTCCGGGCAATATTTCCAGAAATGGTTTGTCTTCGCTTCCTTCCTAGGATTAAAATG